ACCAAACTAGTTTCACGCAATTAGTAAGCCAACGATGTTAACAACAACTTGCAAACCAAAATTTATAATCGAATGTTGGCAGTAAGCTGATGCGGTTGATGTAATTTTAATGTATCTTACAATTTTTTCTCGGCAAAAATACATTTCATGTTCTTTTTAAATTTATATTTGGGGCTACAGAGACGTTCTACCGATCGGATTGCCTGAAAGATATCTCTTGGATCGGACGTCGTATTTCTATCACAAGCTTCAATTTAAAAAAGAAATAAAAACATTTTCAAAAATTGATTTTACTGTGAAAACAATGTAGGCTTCATTTCCCGTAACCACCAAAAATTTTAATCCATGCACGCATGTAAGAAAATCAGTTTTTTGTTCAGTTTTTGCTTCCAAAAATGTTCATTGATTTTGCCGTAGAATAAATTTCTGTTTAAACCAACAACATTATGTTCATGCACGTAGGAAGATTCCTTGAGGCTTCATTCAATGGGCTGAATAAATTTATAATTTCGCAAAACAAGGAGTACAAAACGAAACAATAAATCACGTCTTAACATCGCAAATGGCGTTTTGCTTGAGATTGTTTTTTGCTTTTCCTTTCGTTGTTGTTTGTCAATTTTCATTTGTTCATTTTTTTTATTTAAATGATTTTCCGTTTTGGCTGTTGAAATGTGCGCATGTTGAGTGCATTGATTAGAAGCAAGTCTCTCTTGCTCCTTTGGTTGGTTCGCCCTGAGACAGCTGTCCACAACATTCTTCAAGAAAAGTGTTCATTGCTGATTATTCTATCTTCACTTTAGTTATTACCATCATCGCTATAATTACCATCGCTAAAAATATTAGAACAAAAATAAAAATTTGAAATGAAAACGAAATGTTTTGTTGTTTTGCCTCCAGGCCTGGTCGTTTAATAATAATAAAAATAAATATCATTTATCATTTATAAAGCGCCAATGCAAGCGACTGAGGCGCCCTCGGAACTAAGAAATTTATAAAATAAAAAAAAATCGAAAAATTTGAAATAATAAATGTTTCATCTTCAAAGCAGAATTTATTTAGAACCGTTGTAGGAGACAAAAAAGCAAAACAAATTAGGGATTTTGTTAGAAAATATTTTTGATGTTTGTATTCTGCGTTTGTTTTTATTACTGAAAGTTTCAAAGGCGGTCACACATTTATAAGTCCCTAATTTTATTTCACACAGTTAAACTTGTACAACCTAAATTATGACAAACTCTGGACAACTTCGTTGCAATTTATTTGATTTTGGTTTGTCTAAAAATTTCATGTGAAGACAATAATAAATCACATTTGAGTTGTTGGTCGGCTACAATGTGAGTCTGCCCGCAAGACGTCTTGCGAAATATACAGTTCAGTGCGCACAATACATTCAGTAGCAGAGAATGGAAAATATGTTTTCCATTATTTGAATGTTAATACTCCAATGTGTTAAATATGTAACATTCCAATATGTTAAATTGGGTGGAGCACGACAATATTTCCACACATAAAAAAGCGTGCAGTTTGCTTGAAAAAATCTATAATATAATAGTATAATATATTTATGCTAATTATTTCTAATTTTGAAAATTTTTAACGAACTATTTGCTAGTATACAACAAATATGTTCACAATACTTGAATGTAAGTAGTTTAGATTTTAGTGCGCTGAAAATATTTCACTTTCCGTTGTAGTTTTCAAAAAAGCTTAAAAGTTTAGTTTCAATTCAACCAGCATTGCACTGGATTCATGCCTGGCAATCCGCTAACTATCAATAGCAGCGTGTGCATTGATGTTCCAGATGCATGTGGATGTTGGTTGGTAGGTGGCCTGCACTGCACATGTTTGCTCTATCGATCACGAGTTGGTCCAACGTAATTGCCGAGCAAACACTGCGAGGATCAAATGCTCAGATACTTGACATGTAGCTCTTTATTCATCAATGTTCTTGCTCATAAGCTCTTCGCAATTGTTCATGCACTGCTGTTTGCATGAGGTTTGTTTGTTGGATGGTGTACATGCTCTTTATTTATCTAGTTTTAAATTTCGTTGAATATTTATACCTAGCAAGTAAATTTCCTAAAAGTTGTTCATACTGTTGTTCATACAATTGTTCACAAGGTTGTTCACACTCTGAACAAACAGGCACTTTAGCAAGAAAATTTTAATGCAAACAACGACATCTGATTTGCAAAATTAACACCACATGCCATTAGAACTCACCTTTCTTTAAAATTTTCATTATCTCCCGTCCAACAATAAACTAGCCAGGGTTGGGCAAGCTTTTTGCTGTGAGGGCCGCATTGAGAACTATTTTACATTTGAAGTGCCGTATATGTATTTAAATAGCAAATTTTTTCAACCCGAGAGAGAATTTTTTAAGCTTTGTGGTTCCTTTTTTTGGTCATAATGTCTGGCTGACGACTTTTTCTGGGGAAACACGGTCTCGCGAACCGCATAAAATAACTTTGAGGGCCGCGCCCACAGGCCGTAGTTCGACCACCCCCGAACTGGACAATAGCAATGTAAATTATTATAAGTTTTCAACAACGATAATAATGATATAAATTTTAATTATCACCAGATAAATAATGAAAGTAATAAAATAATTTTCAATTATTGCGCAGACCACAATTCACAAGGGAAACTTTAATATCAACGGGCGTGGAAGAAAATTGCGAGTTTTATGAAAAAGTTTGTAAAAATTGTTCGGACGTTTCTGAATTAGTTTCCATATCATGCATTGCAATTGCATGCCATTGTGTGGCTCCATCATTAACGCGCGTGCGTGGAATGTTTGTACGTTTTTAATGGTATGTATTTTTTATGGCGCGCATTCATATCGTTTGTCTGTTTGTAAATAAGGGTCAGGATTTATTTTCACTGAAAATGTCGTAAAAACAAAAACATCATTATCTGTTTTCTATAAATAAATGAAATTCAATAACAAAACGGTTAAAGTTGATATCATCACAACGTTGGCGATCACAACGAGATAACAAACCATCAACAGCAGCAACAACAACAACAACGGCACCAGCAACACAGAGAATAAATTACATTACTACACGAACGCAAAAGAGTAACAACGAAACAAACAACATCAAGTGGCACGGAATGACCGGCATTAAAACGAACGAACGCAATGGACGATGATGACCATTAACCGTCCATCCTCGTCACGTGATGCGATGGGTGTGATGACGCGGTAGTGACAGTCCAGTGGTGTGGTGGGGTGTGGTGTGGTGGCCCACACTCGCATTTATGTTTGCATTTCCCAAAGCTAGCCCTTTAACATTTCGTGGTACATGTGTTCTCCCTCGTTGCGCCCATATAAAATGTTAACATGCTCGGCTGTATGCTTGTTGTCTTGGGAGTGCTTTAAAAATATTATTCAAGTGGAATAGACGTTATTATATAATAAAATCTTATAAATTTATTTGCTATTTTATTTAATTTTTCTCATATTTTTTCAAAAAATTTTGAGCAAATGTGCAATAATAAACATATCAACTTAAATAACGTAAGAAAATCGGTAGACGACAGATGATGATGATGATAAAATGAATATGCATTAAAGAGGGATACAATTCAATTAGCGTATGTAGCACATAAAGAACCATCACACACGTACGCACACACGCACACACGCACGCACATGTGGTGAAATGAAATAAAATGTAACTTTATACCTATGTAAACAAAATTATATGACATCAGAACTTCTTTATGTGGAATGAACGTGAATGACTCCACACAGCACAATAAAAAAAATAGAAAAATGATAATAATATTAATAATAGTAACGAAAGATGCTGAACTTAAAACAATAATAATAAATATAATATTCTGTTGGTTGACGATGCGGTGTGACTTCGTTTCAAGAGGGTAATAAAAATGATAAAATGATTGGATGGTGACGAGGAGTAGAGCAATGATTGTAATGTTGATGGTAACGGTGGTAATAATAGCTGTTATGATCCATATGATGGTTATTTAGAAAAATACCGATTATAACAAATTTTGAAAATGCTTTACTTGAAGATGATGATGTAGAAGATTGCGATAACGATGACGGTGATATGAGTGAGTCAATGATGATGATGATAATGAGGATGATGAGGATGATGATGATGATAATGATGATGACGATGACGACGATGATTACGATGAGCTTTTCACTCAAGCATCAAACTTAATGGTCCGAGGGTATGGGATACTGCATTGCCACATGAAATTAAAACACTCAACTCATTATACTTATTTATCATAAAAACAAGCTAAAAACTTTTTTAGTTAAAAAAACACTTACTTTAAATAGTTTTACACTATTTTACAACTTATTTAATTTTGATGTTCTTGGTAAGCGAATTTTTGTCTCAGTTGTGACTATACTGTCACCTTTAGGTACATGAAACATGACAGTATTCATAGAATGATGTACGTGTTAGCATGTGTTTGTGTATATGTATTTATTTGACATTTCTGTTGCATTTATAGTAAGAATTTGTGTGTATGTTTTATTTGACATTTCTGTTACATTTTCAGTTGGAATTCTTAGTTAAGGGTGGCCTATCCACAAGTTTTTCTTTTTTGGTTATCCTTCAAATAAATAAATAAATAAAATTGATTACGATGATGATGACGATGATGATGATGATGATAGCTTTGAAGGGATAAAAACAATTAGTAAAGAAAATTAAAACGATGTATTTAATTATAAAATAAAGACTGTTTGTGGCAATTTTGAGTTAATATTTAAACAGAATTATTTTAGTTAATCAGTTAGAATAAATTTAATTTGATAAATTTGAATGTTTCCAGAGCAAATGATGACCTCGAAGCCCCCTCCCTATCCAATCAGTTGCAGTCTGATCGATAGCCACCACCCACGAACGGACCAACCATACAACGACATTCATCCATCAACTTCCAACTCGCAAGCAAGATCGAAAGAAGATAAATTCTTGAAGTTAAAAAAATCATCCAATTTAGCAATATTGAACATTGGTGGTGAGAAGCACCGCATGCCTTGGTCCATCATTAACAAGTACCCCAGGTCGAGGTTGGGCAAGTTGAGTCAGGCCACAACTCACGAAGAAATCAAAGAACTCTGCGATGATTATGGCCTGACGATCGCCGCTCCACTCGCTGCAACAACAAGTCTTGTCGCGGCAGCCAACGCCAACATTTTCATCGGCAGCCAAAACTTCAGCAGTATTCATAAAAAAATAGACCAAAATTTTTACACGAGTAGTTATTACAATTTCAAAGGAAGTTGCAGTGATGGCCTGTCCGGCGAAGTTCCTGAATTCTTTTTCGATCGTCATCCGAGAGCGTTCGCATCCATATTGAACTTCTATAAAACTGGAAAGCTGCAATTCGTTGGCGAGGTGAGTAAGATGTTTTCAAGATTTGAAAATTCAATCTATAAACTTCTTATAACATGATATTCATTTGAAACACATAAGTACATAAACTTCATTCTAACAATTAGATTTCTATTCATTACTACGTCATGTGTAAACATTCTAGCGTGGTTCAAATGAAATTTTCAAATAGTAAAGATTGTAAAAACTAAAAAATAAACATACAACAACATCGGAAAAAATGTTGAGAGAATAATAATTTTTCAATGAGTCTCAACGGCACGTTTTCAAGAGCAATTTTATGTGCTGCATTGTAATGGCATGAGATGAAGACAAATATTGCCTTTCAAGTCGCGACCTTTTGACCTCTGACATTGACATTTTGACATTTAAAAATAACAAAATATTGTGACATGAAATAATTTTCATTTAAGCATAAATATTTTTGTAAAAAAAATTTAAAAAAACATTGGAGCGATGAATTTACTTGATGCGGAATAATATAAAGAAAGTAGGCCATGTATATTTTCATTCACTTGTCATACTGGCAATGTTGCAGCTGCAGTCTAACGCAGATGAATGTTGTTTTTGTTTTAAAACTTGCTCTGAAAACGGGAAAGCCCCATTAATCAACGTCTATGAGACCGACTCCCGATGAGGCAGAGACCACGCAGGACGATATCGCGCGACTCCATGTCTACTCTAACTCTATGGAAGGTGACGAGAAAGTTTCTATTGAGACAGATATTTTGCTGTTGAGACAGATTTACTTGTTTGTTGAATTACAACATCAAATAAAATATATTTCATGATGCATTTGTCTATTTTGCTTCACACTCTGTTGCTTGCTATCTTTATGCTTCAAAACCTTCTTGCTGAAGTGGGCGTTCAATCAATAAATAATCAAATAAAACAGTTGTTATCAACTTGCCAGAGGATTAGAAACGATCAGAAATAAATAAGAATTTTTGTGATATTGCAGTTGATTTCGAGTATTCAGTTAATCATTAAAATATTCAGACATGACGAAATGATTAGGTGATAAAAAGAAGAAAAAAATAAAGTAATGAAATGAATGAAGGCAGAATCGTTATCATCAACATCAGACCGTCATCACCAAGCCAATCACACCAAGGCAGCATCCTCATCATCATCATCATCATCATCAATTTTTTGTAAAATGGACATCACGTGACCCATCAACAAAATGATGGTTTAGTTCTTTCTCTCTCGCTTCCACTCACGCGCCCACACTATCTTTCTTTATTTTTATGTTTTTCACTTTTCATATTTTTCTTATTTTTTAAAGTTTTTCTAAAAAATTATTTTCTTCTATTTATTTCATTTATCCATCTAATTTACCCTACAACCTTAACACATCATTTCCCCGCCAAAAGATTTCTTTGTTAATTTGAAAAATATTCTGGTTGAAAGTTGCTTAATTCGAAAATTAATATTTTCTTAACGTTTCGCAGCTAAATCGTTCCAGCATAACTTTTACACATTTTATTTTCGTATGAACTTTCATTTGGAAACAGAAATCATTTATTAAGGGGTAGAATATCTCCTTTAAAGAAGAACAATAAACACATATTACCAAATATATTAACAAACAAAAGCAATCAAATTAATAAAAAATAGAAAAAAGCACGAATACAAATGCTAAACAACAAATACATTTAGTAACATGGGATGAATTGATTTATCTCTAAACATCCAAACGCAAAGTCATGTGATTCATCGAAACGTCCATCACAACAAAACGAGAAACTACTGCCTCAACCTGATTAGTTGCAACCACACAACACAAACAACCACCAAATAATCTATAATAACAACACAACAACAAAACATCAACAACAACCCGCAACAACCAAAAAAACATTAAAATCCCAACAAAAACATCAATAAAAATATTAACAATAATTTTAAAAACCAAGACATCAGCAGCAGCTGTAACAACGGCAACAACAACGGCAACAATAACGGCAACAACATCGTCACGAAAACCACACAGCAAGGAGACAACTCAGTAATTGTCCTATTGATTTTAAAGAAACAGTTGTCGTTGTACGTACACATGCATGTGTGTCGCCTCATATGCATTCATTCATACATGCACCATGAATTCATTCATTTGTTCATTCATTCATTCGTTTATGCATGCACCATGAATTTATTTATATTTATTATATAAAAATATAAACAATAAATAAATGAATATAAATATTTGTAGAAATGCACCGACTTGCTAAACAAACAATAAAAAGCTAAGTAATGTAGCGAACTTATTCAGCTTGTACAACAAGCGTTGTACACAAAAATATGGCATGCTAAAAACATTTTCACGTAGTTGTACAAATGTATGTACATGGGTACCGTGTAGATGAGGTTTACGTACAAAATTGTACACGTTTTACGGCGAGTATTTGGTATGTGGTATGTATGGGGTACAATGCACATTATGTATTGTGGGTATTCGTACATAATAGGCATTTCTATACACACACACACACACATACACCTACGTCAGGTAAATGTTCTTGATAAGAGGATGCAACATTGGTTTGTATAAATGCTTGGCCATAAACAGTCCTTAACATTCCTTCCATTGCTGCTTTCTTTATTGCTCGCTTTCTAGTAGCACTTCTTATATTACTATTGATTCTACTTTTATTCTGGTGGCAAAATTATTATTATTCATTTTATTATTTGCTAAATATATTTATTGTGCAAAATTTTTTAAATTATTTTTTAAAATTATTTTTCATAGCAATTAAATTGTTTTAACTGGCAAACGAACAACTTACTATACCCAGTGCAATAAATAAGCAATTTCGTAGTAAATAAACAATACTGAATGAACAAATTTAAGTATAAATAATAACAAAAGTGAAATAACACTCAAAAACATGAACAGTAAAATTTTAAAGTAATTATTTTATTATACAATTGTAAAAGTATGTAAATTTATTATCATCAAAGATATTTTTGACATTTATTGCGATGACATTTGCACGGAAGGCAGTTGTCATTTGCATGCAAATCACATGTCAAAATTATGAAGAGGGTTTTCGTGTATGTATGTATGTGTGTATGTATGTTTGATCAGCTAGCATCAAGAAATAGACTGGCAAGTGGCCCTGTACGCAGATACAAAGACAGCCTTAAAGAAAATATGAAAAAATGTGGTCTAGACCCCAAGGCTCTTTGTGTTGATGCTCTGCGACGCTCGGAATGGAGAAGGTCTACCCAGTCGACGGTTTCAGCTTTTGAACTGGCACGCACAGCTGCCCTCGCTGAAAAAAGGACTCGCTGAAAACAGACGGCTCAAAGCGGCGATAGTACAGGTGTATGGATTTGTGGAACTTGTGCACGGAAATGTTCGTCAAGGATATCGTTCATTCTAGGACTCACCGATGACCCAATTCGTCGATTCGACGATGTACTCCATATGTATGTATTATTATGTATGTATGTATGTATGTATTATTATTATTATTATTATGTATGTATGTATGTATGTATGTATGTATGTATGTATGTATGTATGTATGTATGTATGTATGTATGTATGCATGTATGTATGTATGTATGTATGTATGTATGTATGTATGTATGTATGTACGTACGTATGTATGTATGTATGTATTTATGTATGTATGTATGTATATATGTGTGTATGTATGTAGTATGTATGCGTGTGTGTATGTATGTGTGTGTGTGTGTTTTCGTGTGTACGTGTGTTTTTTATGTATGTAAATATGCGCATATGTGAGTCATTTGAATAATGTGATTGTTACCAAAATTTTTACTAAATTGTCAAAAAATATCTTTGTTGTATTTTTGTTCGTTTGTTTGTTTATCTTTTTGTATGTTAACTTTTATTTGTATTTAATTTGTTTGGATTTGGTTTTGTTTAACTTAAGCTATCTCTTAGAAATTTGTTTTTAATTTGCCACAAATTATTTCCTATCAGTAGAAAAATTCAATATAATGGTCCATAGGCATCATTCACTTCATGTCACCGCTCAGTTCACATTGACGTTTTTTAATTATGCTTCTAAAAATAATTGAGACGCGCGTTGTTGCCGTAGATTGTGTTGTTCTACATGGCATACCTGTCTGTTTTGTCTGTCAGTCTGTCTGTAGGTCATTCTGTCTGTCTGTCTGTCTGTCTGTCTCTCTGCTTGTCTCTTTGTCTGTCAGCGCATCATTTTGTCTCCATCAACTTTTAAATCAGAGAAAATTGAAAATTGTATTTGTCAAACTTTTAATTTTATTGGTTTAAATAAATGATTATACACGAAAATTCAAATAAATAGGTTTATCTTAATTTAAACTAATTCCATGGAGCATATAACCTAATGTTAACGCAAACAGATTTCAATAATTTGCATTCAATAAAACGATAATGCATTTTCGTCATTGATTTACTAACTTCAATCACATTATTACTATGGAAGGTCCTCATGACGTCATGTAAATGGCGTTCATCATCTCCACTGCATCAATTACGTCATCACAAAAATCAGCTATGTAAATAACAAAAAACAACAACAAAACACGCCACCAAAACTCACCACGTTACACAACAATAACCCGCTAGCACGACAACATAATGTAATGTATAGGACTCATAAAATTGTTCTTTTGAAAAAATATAAAAATATATTACCGTGTGTTAACTTAACATGCTGTTTATAATGATATAACAAACTGTTAGTTTAACATATACAAACATAGGTACACACCAATCACACACATACACACACACACACATGCGCACACACGCACACACACACACATGATATTTTAAGGTGTGTGTGTTATCATTTTGTGACGACCTTGATTACTGGGGTATGGACGAATTGCATTTGGAACCATGCTGCCAACACGTCTACCACAGATGCAAGGAACAGGTTGGTGTGTGTATGTATGTGTGTGTGTTTGTTTGTGTGTGTGTGTGCGTAAATGTGCAAGTGTGAAAGTGTGTGTGCGTGAATGTGCAAGTGTGAGCGTGTGTGAGCATTTTGCCGTTTGTCGAATGTGGTCAGGCGATAATTATGACAGTAGTCGGAGTTACGGAAGGAAAGAGATGAAATAATGTGGAAATGCATTCTACATCCCGCGGCTAGGAAAATAGGATATGAATGCAAACGTTTTAAAAAATTCCGTAACAAACCTACCAATAATTTTCTTATAATAAGGAAAATATCAAATTTTCATAAAACGTTCACGGTGACGGCTAAAAAATTTTGATATACAACTATCGCTAGTCTTTAGGGATGATGATAACGACGATGATAAAGTGCTGATAATGACGGTTATGACAATGACGTTGATTGTGATAACAATTCTAATTATCATAATGATAATTGACAACGACAATTTATGTGGTTGTGGAATATCTGGCTAAAAATAATAATGTTAAATATAAATAGCAAATTGTACAGAGACCTAGCAATAATATAATTCTGTCTTCTTGAGGAAGAATAGTGGAAAAAAATGGCTTCCGTTTTTATTGGACGTGTATGCCGTTGAGAAATTTTTGTGATGATGTAATGATGTAATGATGTAAAGATCTATTGATGTAATGATGTAAAGATCTATTGATGTAATGATGTAATGATGTAATGATTGGAAGTTGCGGTGCTGCAGCGTTGACTCGCCTAGCTTAATAGGACATTAATTTTTATCCATTTAATTTTTGTTGTCGTTTTTATTGCGGCTCTTCTGCTGGCTTTTCACGATCCTTACTTCGTTGCATCACTAAATAATGATAATGATTGAGTGGGGATGATGACGTAGATAATGATGATGGTGAGAAGGAGGAGGAGGAAGAAGAAGAAGGTTTGTCATTGCCCTAATTAACATCGGATGGTGTTCTCTTATGTTCATTCATGTTCTTTCATGTTCATTCACGTTCATGTTATCTGGTTCACTCCCTATTGCCAATTCTCACTAACGTTAATTTAAAAATTTTGTTTGTTCTTTCTTTAGATTAGATTTTTATTCATTTCGCATATGAAATGTGACAGTCTTTCAAATTAACACAACTGTTAAGATTGTTGAGACTCTACTAATGTTTAAATAATATTATTTTAATTTAATAAGCTAAAAGACATAAACTGCAAAACTTATTAGACTTGCTTAAGACCAACAAATAAATATCTTAACCAAAAAAATGTACAGCCCAAATGTTAAAAATAAATTTACTTAACTCATTTTTTCAGCGGTACTGGGCGTTTAGTTTCGATTGATTTGTAGGATATTAGATTTATCTTCTATTAGTTTAGTTAGAAGAAAAAAGAGTCCAAGTGCCAAGTATGTGTGTGTGTGTGTGTGCGTGTGTGTGCGTGTGTGTGCATGTAGCATTTGAAAATTCAAAATTTTTTCGAAAACTTCTTCTTCGGAGCTAGACATTACATTATACGCGTCAAATTAGATTTCTTCGAGAAAGCTGTCATGCGATTTTGAAAGTTCCTTTGTCGTAATGAATGATGTTGCATTCGCGAAATGTATAAAAATCTTGAAATAAACTTTTGTTACTATTCTGACGATGATGACGATGATGAGGAAGATGGCAATGATGATGATGACGATAACGATAATGATGACGATGATGAAGAGGATGACGATGATGATGTTGATGATGAAATAAGTCATGATAATTACAGTAACGCGATAAAAAAAAGTAGCAATGCAGCGGTTGATGAAAATGATGACATGAAGCTCTCGGGTGAATGGCTAGATTTTTTACACATTCACTCACACACAACAACAACAAACACATACACATTCACTCACACACACCAACAACAAACACAAACACATTTACACAAACACACCAACAATGAACAATGAACACATTCACACACACACCAACAACAAACACATACACATTTACACACACACATAAACAAACACACAAACAACGAACGCAGGTGTACGACGAGATGAGAAAGGACGAAAAAAGTTTGGTGCTGCCAGAACTTGAAATATTTGTTGGCGATGGGAAAGTTGTGAGGCTGAGGCAGAAGTTGTGGGACCTGCTGGAAAAACCACAAACATCTCGAGCCTCTAGGGTACGTTGGCATTTTATGCTGGGAAGATTTTTTTGATAGTGTCCGTATTATCTTCATCCACCTTTCCATTTATTCATCCAGTCATCTATCCATCCATCCAGTCATCGATCAAATTATCCATCCATCCATCGGTACATTCATCCAGCCACTCACTCATCGACCACCCATCCATCCAACGATGTGTAAGGATGTATGTAGTTTGGATATGTGTGTGTGTATTGTGTGTGGTGCGTGTATGTGTGTGTGGATGTGTACACATGCATGTGTTTGGTTGAGTGAATAGATAGATTTATATTTGTCTACAAGGACTCTTAAATTTTCCCGTTTTTGGGCATTTGTGTTGATTGTGATTTACAGAATTTTGTTTATTTATGTCGTGTTTTTGAATTTTTTTATTTACATTATTTTCTTTTTTCTGCAACAATCTCTAGGGTTCCATAAGTATGAAAAGTATTGATTTTAATTACAAGTTTTGAAGTTTCTTGCGTAATGTTTTGAAACGCCTTCACCGTAAAACATTTGTCTGCGTTTGCTTATTTTTGTTCGTTTTAATTAATTTATTTCTTTTTTGTCTTTAATTTCATGTAGCAAGTTGTTATGTTTTTTCATTTGTTTGTTTGTTTTTGCTATGATTAGCAGACTTTCCACTTGGTTGCTCGAAGCGTTCATCGATTTTTCAAAACGTTCCAACCAACCTAACAAACATGACACTGTTGCAATCCATTGCACATTAAGGTGTTTGTGTGTGTACACATACAGACAGGTTGTACATTGAAATGTGTGTTGTATGTGTGTGTGTTTGTACGTAGATACATTTTGTACATTGAGATGTGTGTATGTGTGTGTGTTTGTGTTTGTGTGTGTGTATGTGTGTGTGGTGTGTGTGTGTGTGTGAGTGTAGTGTGCAGTCTTTGCTTTAAATTACGTATTTTGCTAAAAAAGAATCCCATTTTCTTATTGTCAGCAGTTAAATATATGGAAAAGTGAAGAAAACACTTGACTCGTTTCTATGAAGCTATAAATTTTACCTGTTTTTTTTACTTTGAGCCGCTGCAATGTTTTATTTGTCTTTATAACACCCATGTGTTATTGTTGGCGTACAAAGTTTGTAATATATAATGTTTATGTGTGTGTGTGTGTGTGTCTGTGTGTATGCCTGTATGTGTATCTGTGTGTGCCTGACTGTGTGTATTTGGGTGTGCACCTGTACATTTACGTGCGTAATGTGCGTAATGCACATGTGCACGTGCGTAAATGTTTGCAAAATAAAAAAAACAGTGAGTCGCATTCATCGGGACGTTGCTGGCTTCTGATGTTTTGTGCAGCTGCAACTGCTGATAAGGCTTGGAAGTTTTGGAAAAAAAATCTGTGTTGTCGTAATGTAAAATTTTGGTAATTTTAACTGTCATTATTTTAAGTAATTCTATTTATACTAAATTTTTGCCTGTTTATATGTTTGTGATTGTGTGTGCGTGTATGAAAATGTATTAAAGCGTATTTGAGCATATTATGTGTTATGGGGTAGTAAGCTTTAATATATATGGAAGTATCGTTTCACTACGACTGAATTATTTGTGAAGCACCTACTTAGCATGCGTTGTTTGTATTGGATTGTGTCTCTCTGTTCTCTACTCTATGTTTAATTTGTTTTATGTGTTATATCTAATGTTCGTTGTATGTCTGTATTAGGTACTGGGTATTGGGTTTTTAGTTGTATCTCTAATTTCGTATGTTGTGTATAAAGTTTATGTTGTCTGTTGTGTTGCTTGTTGAGCAGCAAGATGGTTCGGTAATAAAATACCCAGTTAGGCGTTGCCATACACTCTTTCCATGGCAAAAAGTAATTGATCCCAGGCAATCGAAAACATGCATGATGCATGAGACATGAGACATGAGGCCTGAGACATGATGCATGGTGCAATGTTTTGCATGTGTGTTTTATGCTTATGAAGAATAGAGTCTAGAAATTTCTCTGATGTTATGCCTTGATTGTCATGTGAATTGAAAAACTCACTTATCTTTATTATTTTTTCATTAGTGTTTACGTCCAAATAGTTGTTAAATTACAAAACTTAACAATGTCACTATTTGGCTCGAGTGACATTGTTAAGTTTTGTGTTTTTCTGGCTTAAGATCGAACAAACAAACAATTTATTTTTTATTTTTTAAATATTTGTGTCTCAAAAAGGAAACAAAATATTTTTTAATGAAATATGAAAACTTTCTTAACCATGAAATATATAAAAAATATATAATGGTATGTGGTTTAGCGCAGTCATTTTTGAATAATATTACCTTGACAAATTTGGGATAGCGTCTTTTAAATATTTTCAAAAATCGTGTTTGTATATATGAGTGTGCGACTGTGTGTGTGTGTGTCAGTTTGTTCATCGTTCCAAACATTAATTTTAAACTGGCAACAACGAAGGAGGTAAGTGCTTCCTTCGACGAGAATCCTCAAAACCGTTTGTTTGCAAAACAAAACGTTAACGACTGGAAATAAAACGCCTAAATAAATATTAAAAGAATTGCCTGCTTTAAATGTTGGGCAGATTTGAAATGCCTGTTCTGCTTCTTAAATAGTTATTATTAGCAGCAAAGTAATTTGCGCGTGAAGTCCGTTATTATTTGTTTGTGTGAATGTGTGTGAATGTGTATGTGAGTCTGTGTGAAGTGCCTATCAAGCGCTATGTAGACCCGACGGCGTGAGCATGCTTAAATGATGCCAGGCTATTTATTACATGAAGCAACGCTGGGCCATTCATTATTTCATGTTTGGCTGGCGAAAATGACATTTTTTCCTCTGTTTACTGTTATTTGTTTTGTTTTTAAGCGAAAATAAACTTAGGTTGTTATACGTAATCACCGTTCTACACTATGCGAAGTTTTCCGTTTGTGCGTCTACAAAACTTTGAGTTAAAATTCTCAACTTATCAAAAAGCGATGATTATTTTTATGGCATATTAATGCAAGCAGTTATTGCTTAAGGAAACTTTTCCCATTAACAATACAATGTACAATGACGTGATGTTGTGTAAAAAAAAACTGCAAATATGTTTGGTATTCTTTAGGAAAGATTGTTGAAAGTAGGTACTGACACAGGTATAAACATAATAAGCAATGAATGCATTAATGCGGTATTAATGTACTGCGTATGATGTGTGTGTGTATAATACCTACGTATCTCGTTCAGCAGTAGGGTTGATGGGATTAGTGGGTGTTAATGCAATGCTGCCGCCGAGTTACACTGGAAAAATTGTTTCACCGCCTCTTTTAGCTTATTCATTCCTTCCAATTACTTTTTCAACACGGATTTCTATGCACACTGTACATATAAAGATTTATTTATGAATATGTGCATGTAGATACATACACACGCTTATGTCTATACAAACATATATATACAAATATTTACATACAACATATGCAATTAAACATACATACGTATGAACATGCATATGTTAAATACAAACGTGTATGTATATTCAACAAATTTAGAAAAGATTTTAATGAGTACCTTTTTAATGCGATTTACTCATCTCTGAATATTCGCACTGTGGTCTGCGAATTAGAACGCACACCTAGTAGAGGATGGAGGATGATTGGATTTCATTGAACGCGCATTTATTTACTCGAACAACAATTGCTGCCTGCGTTCAATCATTTTATTGTGCTCCTTTTTCAAATTCACCTTCCATAATTTTATTTAAAAAAAATCAAATTATAAACTACTAAAAGAGGTTTTAAACAAATAACTCTTGTCATTCTAGAAAATTTTTATTATCTTTTTTAGATAATTTTTGCTCAAAGACATTTTGTCATGTAAATGTTTCATTCGAGAAAATGTTATTTATTTTTTGATTAAAATTAAGCGAAACGTTTAAAAAAATACATTTTCAATATTACACTTATTAAACAAAGCATTTAGAAGATTTTGAATCAAATTTGACATTTGACAGAACGTTTAAAATGTTCATCAAACTGCGTTTACTTCATTTGATACTTCCTATCAGTTTTGTTAACCCTTCGAAAAAAATTTCAAATATGAAATAAGCAAGACGAATTATTAATACAAATAAGAATATTAAAATGCATAACAATTGAAACAATGTAGGCTTACACAGAAACGGTATATAACTTTAAAATAAATGTTTGTGGTAAGCTATAAATAATGTTACATGCAAATTTTTTGAGATGTAAAAATGTGGCATAAAAATTTTACCTTCTTTGTTGAAATGATTTTTATTGTTAGAAAAAAATTCATTTTTGTATTCGCGAAAGCAAGATATATTGGAAAAATATTTTTTAACGCACATTAGGTGTGACGAACGAATTGTTATAAATGACGTTTTGCCAGATTTCTTCATTATTCAACTTGTGAAGTTGATGCAAAAAATATATCACGAGCAAAGTTAAAATTTCTACGCGTGTGATGGATACGAACAATCCCAGCCTGGGCAAGCAAAGAAAAATTTTCTTTTACAAGAAACAACAGAATGCGCTCAGAATGGCCTGCAAATGATTGAAATGTATTTTATACCTCGGCTATGCAAGAAAATATATTACTCCAGAGAAACAGTCTAGTTCGTTAAATTAGTCAAACGTAATGGTGGTCGCAAAATCTCCTATTAAATTGGATTGTCATTACAAGTACAAATGTACAAATATAAAAACAAACAACCATGTACTAATTTGTACTCATGTTTTTATTTTATTTTTATATTTTATATCTATATGTAAGATTTTTACAATTGACACATTGATTATTACTGAAGGTCGTAGCCATAGTATCAGTGGCTTTCATCGTTCTTTCGACCGTGTCCTTGACCTTGAATAGCCTGCCCATTCTACACGAGGTTGACCAGGATGGTCATTTGATCGACAACAAATATTTGGCCGGTATCGAAGCTGCTTGCATTTGCTGGTTCACTTTGGAATATCTATTGAGACTCTGGGCCTGTCCAAACAAAGTAAGTTGGATTGATTTCAACAATAACATGTTGAACAATTTTGTTTAAATATTTAATAAAGTTATGTTAAAAATGTTGTATTTTACCACAGATAAAATTTTTCAAGGGAGCATTAAACGCCATCGATTTAATTGCAATCTTGCCCTATTACGTTTCACTGTGTCTCGTAGAATCAAACCACAGCACGTCTCAAATACAAAATGTTCGAAGAGTTGTACAACTTTTTCGTATCATGAGAATATTACGTATCTTAAAATTAGCTAGACATTCGACAGGATTACAATCTTTAGGCTACACACTACACAGAAGTTACAAAGAGTTAGGTCTGTTGATGACCTTCCTAGCAATTGGTATCCTAATATTCTCCAGCCTCGCTTATTTTGCAGAAAAAGAAGAAAATGGAGCCATGTTTTCCAGCATTCCAGAAACGTTTTGGTGGGCTGCAATTACTATGACCACGGTCGGTTATGGAGACATGTATCCAAAAACGATATGGGGCAAGTTGGTGGGAAGTGTCTGTTGCATCTGCGGTGTGCTTGTTATCGCCTTGCCAATTCCGATCATCGTTAACAACTTTTCCGATTTTTATCAGGACCAACTGAGGCGAGAGAAAGCTGTCAAAAGAAGAGATGCTCTCGAGAGAGCTCGAGTAACGGGTAGCATCGTTTCCTTGCAGGACATCAAGGATCCGGTCCCACGAAACATGTCATGCCTGGATATGGTCTTGGCTCAGGCAGCCACAGACACGACCAGAGCAATAGGTCTTCTAGCGGCAAAAGATCCAGCTCATACGTTACGATTGTTCAATCAAAGAATGTCGGCCACCGGTCCGACTTTTCCAAGCAATAAAAATTCCTCGAATGTTGTTGACGAATCGCACAGTGGTAGGAGCATAGCAACGGCAAATATCCACGGCATCATACCGACTGATGTCGTCGTTATCAACGCGTCGCCCGAGTCGATACACAGCATCGATTTATGAAGGACAGCACGTTCGTCTGCCTAGTTTTGCAATTTTTTTCGTTTGCGCTACTTTTATCATTTTGATCATTGCAACAGATGTTTTGTGAACTTATTTATTTCTTACGCCGATAGTATCGTAATATTTTTTTTAGTTTACTTGAATATTATTTATTTCGTTTGTAATTTTTCATTGTTTTCAATTCTGAAAATTGTAAAAAAAAAATTTGTTTTACATAAAAAGATTTTTTAATTACAACTTGGAAGCATTAACAAATGACATGATGAGTGTAAACAAAAACATTTATAGTGACAAACGCTGAAAAACAAAATATGAAAAAACGATCGAACGTCTCTAACAAAAGCAAGAATGAATAAAAAAGCAATAAACAAAAGTTTAACATATGATTTAACCGGTTTATTACGAACAAGAGAAAATAATAACTACGATTTAACAGCTAAGCTCAAACAATAGCCATCATCCTCATCATCATCATTCATTAAACTTTGGCATTCATCAGCGTGCCTATTATTAACATCATAATTTCTGCAAAATTCTGACGAGATGTTTTTGCGGTCAACATCATTTCTACTGCTTTCACCGTTTTCAGAATGCTGACCATCTGAGAATTTAATGCGTCTCTTTTCCACATCCTCATTTGTAACGTTATTATTTTTGCTAGTATTAGTATTTTTAATATTATCATTATTATTATAAAAATTATTATTATTATTATCATCGCCAAAAATATCATTAATATTTTCATCACGACTGATCCTTTTATCGTCCAGCGGAAGAGATCTCCTCTCCATTTCACCAACCATCCTCATCCCAGCAAACGAATAACCAGCAGAATTATCACAGGCACCAGTCTTTGAGTTTCTTCTAGAAGGAGATAACGACGACGATGAAGAAGAAGAATATAATGATGATGATTGGTTAACGATTCTGACGTTTTTATCGATTTTATCATCCTGCGAATTTGTCGTCTGGAGTGAATTAAAGAATTCATCGGTGAGAGCAGTTGGTGATGATTTCATAGTCTGAAGAGGAGCCACCAGCAATGTGAGTGCTTCATTTCTCAGAGAATGTAGTGTGGACGGTGTAGTTTCTGTTTGTGTCCCAGAAAATGAAGGCGATCGTAATGATGATGTAGAAATCGATGTTGTACAACTGTTAGAAGGCCTGCTAGAAGTTTGAGCAGGTGAATTGATTGAGATAGAAGCTTCGTGGTTGAGTTTTAAAACGTTAACATTGGAAAAATTTGAGTTGGATGTTGAAGCAGTAGTAGTAACTGTTCTAGACATTTGAAGTTGATTGGTAATGAATAGGTCGGTAAAATTCACTATGTTTGATGTACAATTATCTTCAGCATTATCAACATTAACAGGCGCTGCTTTCTTCTTTGCCAGATCTTTATCGATAATTATTTCGTTTTCAATGACGCGCAATTCAGATTTTTTTGCATATGCTCCAGTGCCTGCGCTGTTGTAGTCAGCATCACTCTGACTAGCATCATCATCGTCGAGAAAATGTCTGCCCTGATGAGCATTTTCAATTTCTTCATCATTTATCCCATACTCATTAACACCATTAGTTTCAACTCTAGTATTTTCATAACCATCAAACTCATCATCGTCATCGGCATCGTCATCATCATTAATTTCATTTTGGTTGGTTATCTGAACAACGACACTTTTGGAGTATAAATAAGGAAGTGATAAAATGTTCTTGAACTTCCCTCTTTTTGCTCCAGTTGCTGTTGCTGAAGTTGATGCTGCCGCTGCTGAAGTTGCTTTTGATGCTGCTGAAGTTGCTGCTGATGCTGCCGCTGCTGTAAATAACGTAACAATAATTTCCCTCATTTGCTAAGTAGTGGTTTTGTGAGTAGATAAAATGAGTAGCTATATAACGTATGAGATTGAAAGAGAGTTAAAGTATAGATAGTAAGTAAAGTTAATGCATTTCTACTTGTCAAATCATTCATAACGACAAAAAAAATCTCCGTGATATTAAAATGTACTTAGATGCCATCTTTCAAAAATAACCTGCTTGTGTAAACTATCTGAGCTATTTATAAACAACAATTCTATAAATCTAAAAATAACTCAACAGTTAAAATAGCAAAGATTACAAAATAGTAGCGAAGAAATTGTATAGTGCAATTATAATAGAACATAAAACATGGAAGAAGTGATGAATAGCTTGCATAAAAAAAACCATTAAAAAAGCATGCCAATAACAATTATATTAAATTTTTTAATAATTATTTAATTAATTAAATGTAAGAAAAAAACCTGATGGCTTTAAAGAGGCTGAATCCTGAAAAATTAAAGTCATTTATTAATTCATGAAATCATAAAAGAAAGTTAAAAATCGTAAAACACAGTCAATACATAACACATACAACACACAAGACACCCACACACACACAACACATACACACACATCACACACACATCACACACACACACAAGCACAAACAAAACACAAAACACCCACCCCCCACCCCACACACACACACACAAAATACACACACAACACACATTAAATACAACACTCACTACACAAACAACCCAAAAGCCCAAAACACTAACTCTTGCAGGGACTTGTATTTTCAAAGGTACACAGCAGTGTGATGTGGCACAGTAGCGACGACAGCAAACTATAGCCAGAGCAAAAAAAAAGAATACACATGCAGCCACTACAATGGCGACCCACGTATCATGGTTCACCTGCGTTGTGCTGCCCAGACGATTATATGGATGAAATTCTTGGCGCTTTACAATGCTCCTTGCATTATCATCACCATGAAAAATATCATCATCGCTGTGATCACCATTCAACCATCCATAGAATGTGAAGATGAGTTTTGTTGTCTCGTGCATTTCGTTGGCATTCAACATTATTTCAGCACTCTCCAGACCATTCTCCAACTCACGGACTGGCTCTAAAGCAGGATATTAAATTGTTCATTAACGTATTTACCGAGAAAAAAATTATTACTGAAGCAACATCCTGATGATAATTATTACAACAATTAAATTATTCATTAAAATTAACAAATTCTAAAAACTTCAGAGTTTATATCAGGTAGTTCACAAACAATGAACGGTAAAACGGTGTAATGGTTGAAAAGACGCCTCTTTACATGTCTCAGTAACTAGGATCGAAATCAAATGGTGATATCCCCCCACCCATTACACAAAAAGTTCGGTGTGTTGAATTGCCAAAAAAAATATTCAAGCACACAATGTATATGTGTGTGCGTGTGTGTGGTGTGTGTGAAAATTATGATGCCCTTGAGCAATGTATCACAAAAAAATAGAAATGAAAAGGAAAAAGCTTACCATTATTGACCAGTATGGAGACGTGGAACCTTCTGAAATAATTTTCGTTAGGTTTGTTGCAGGAATGTTTTTCAAGGACCACCAAGTGGTCAGTGTTTGTGATTAGTACATCTTTTAAAGCTGTTTGAAAACGAAAACATTCGATGAACTTTATGACTATGGTCTGAATGATAAAACAGAATAAATAAATAAATTAGAAAGGAAATAAGATAAAGCAATAAATTAAAAAATAAAAAACCTAATAAATTCAATAATTAAACAAACTCGACAATGAATAATTTAGAAACTTGAATGAAAAAAAACAACAGACGAGATTTAGCATTGAAGAAGCAGTGTTCAACCATCCAGTAAGTTCCACCAGGCTCACCACCGGCTCTGGAGATGCCAAAATGATAATTGTACACCTCATGTTCACTGGATGAAAATGAATAAATGTTGACCTTCTTGGCGTTATCAACCTTCTCCCAGGACATATCATCCTGCGGTTTTTCAATCATTCAATATAACATTACCGACCAGTTGTGAAGTTCCGTCAATCTTAGAGGGCATTTGAATAATTCAGTCAGTTTTTAAACAAAAAACAACTAATAATACATTTTTTTGGAGCAATAAATTAACGAATAAAACACTCACAACCAATAATAACCTTGCACTGCGTGAACCTATCATAGATGCACCAGACGATGAAATACTGTCCACCGTCAACAGAGTCACTCAAATGTTGTTCAAGTTCTGTGATGGAGCCAGAAACCGACCAAACGATATCAGCTGATGTTTCATTGATTCTCACAACGTCGAACAACCGAGGAGCAAATTGAACGTGAACTGACACGTCATCAACCTTCTCGTCAAATGTGGAAGAATTGAGACACCTTCTAAATGGAATCACATACAAACTGGCTGGAATCGTGTTGTTGTAACCTGCACTTGTTGCCGCTTCTAACGTAACTTCCAAACTCGTACCACAACTACCAGAAAATTGCTCATGTTGAGCAGTGCCACCACAACAGTCATTTGAAAGTAACAGGTTGTCGAGTTTGTTGTGTAAATTAGTATTGTTTAAAAATATCTTAGTGTTTCCAGTTGGAGTTGACGAAGATGAAGATTGGGTGGAGATGTTCATTCTGTATTCAGAAACTGGACCCCTTGATTCCTCCAACTTCAACGGCTGGTTGGGCATTTTAGAATGTTATTTAACTTTTCAAATTTGAGAACATGTTAACAAAATAACTTGGATGATCAATGTAAAGCTGAAATTCTGTTTGAATTTTTGTAGATGAAATCCATTTTCATTTGTTATACATCTTCAATTTAAAATTGTAATCAGTGTTGGGAGCATGTAACCGAATGCAGTTCAAATTGAGGAGTAAACAAAAGATATTATGCACAAATATTATAAAAACTGTTGAAGTTCAACTGAGAACAAAAAAAATAAACGAAATTTCATAAAAAAAATTTGACTCAAAAAATTAAAAAGCGATGAACCAAGAAACCAATGAAAGTAAATTAAAATTTGAATTGAATTTAAAATTTGAATCAAAACCTTAAAATAGAAACTGACGTCACACGAACTCTGGCGACCAGTGCATGAGCATTTGAGAATGGAATAAAATGATTCCTCAACGTCAGGGTTCTTCAAGGGTACTACGTGTGAAAAGGTACAAACAACATGTAAACATAATTTACATATTAAATTATGAAATGTGTGTATTTTTATATATTTACCTAACAACAAATGGCCCACGGTTTACATCTCTACCTTGCTCAACCAGAGTAATACTAATGCTCAACCAACAATAATAATAATAACAACAATAATAATAATAATAATAATATAATTTGTACAGCGCCTTAAGCATAGCCACCAAAGGCTTGTTGGAATAGATGCTGCTTGAATTGTTTATCGAAGAGTTCAATTGATGATTGTTGAAGGATGATGAGTGCAAACTGTTCTAAGCATAATTACTCATCATCTGAACACTATTCATTTTATGCAACAGCTTCTATGTGACACACCAGGCAGAAATTATCAAAATCTAACACATCAAACAGATAAATGAACAAACAAATAAGCAAACAAAATAATAAAAACAAAAACGAACCCCTGACGCTGGTGTGGAAGGAAGGCGAGTTACTCCACTCACTAAACAGTCCATAGTTTAGAGGTTTCAATCTGACTGAAGATGAACATTGAGAGAAAGCTGGCAACAATGTTTCATCAACTTCCATCGCAACTAACTCATTGTTATCGGGGCTCAAAATTTCTGTAAAGTCCTAACGGGAGTGAAATCCTTTCTTATAAAATAAACCATCTTTTCTTATGAAATAAACTAAAATTATTTACGTGGAGTCATGACTTTTTGAAATTAAACATTATTAATTAAACAACATGGAACTATACCACTTTGGAAAGATTTGTTCTTGCACAGAAGATTTTGAGATGGATGAGTACATCCTCTTTATGACTGAGGTAATAGAAGGGATAATGGAATTCGAACTTGAAAATTTGTTGATTGGAAAGATGAGGTGATGAACTACTCACTTTCAAGTCTCTCACTGCTTTGATAACTGTTGCGTCAATTTTAGTGAAATTATTTACAACTATCAGGTGAAAAATCAGCTGTAAATTACAAAAGTTTTAGCTAAAAATCTCAAGAGCACGAAACAAGTATGAAAAAAACAACAAACTTGTCTGTAAATAAATATATTTATTATATACAAAAATATTAAATATATATATATACTTAAAAATTAGAAAAACTGCTTCAAACCATTCACGTCCTTCAAATTTATGTTGAAGGATCTGCTCGTCGTCTGGCCAAAAATGTTTGTGCCAATAAAGTATATGTCAACTGCGTCCAGCAAGCCATTGTTAACAAAATTCTCTATAGAAAATTTGTAATCTGTCTTAGAAATTTCAGAATCAATAGTAGCTTGAATTTCATATTTGTCAGAATGAGACCTGTACATGAACATGTAAGTAGATGGTATGCTAAAATACAATGCTGCACAGAGTATTAATTTCAATTATCTTTATTTGAATGGTCAACTTTAAAATGATGATATCAGCAAACACTTCATAACATAAACATTGAACTACATATTACACAGCACACTGCAATATTAACACCATTAACAAAGTGCAAAAGAAAAAATATGGAAGAATAACCTCTTGATAAAAGCATTGTATTTAGTAATGTATTCACTACTCACACCAGATGTCACAAATGTGCAAATGAGATCACTCCAGTTCAATACATTGCAAGTTATGTTGATCACATCGTAGGGCAGGGCTGTAATTATATAATTTATATTTTTATATACTTTTGAGCGTATTCAAATTCTTTAATATTTTTGAATAGTTGTTAAAAAAAAAATCAAAGCATTAGAGCTCGCAGATGCAGTAGAAATTTAATGCAGGTCAATCTAGTCTGCCTGGTTTTCCCAGCAGACGTGCAATTGATTTTATAAGCACTCCATATGTAAGTGAGGACAGGTCTCTATTAGAGCCATGCGCGGTTTGCGATTATCGCGGTTTAAACCGCAAAAACCGCACCGCAACCGCGGTTTTTTGCGGTTGCGGTGCTTAAATCATGCGGTTTTACGCGGTTGCGGTTTTGAAATGTGCGGTTTTTCCGCGGCGCGGTTTTTGTTATCAAAACTGCGGTGACCGCAAAAATGTTGTTAAATATTTTGTTCGTCCATAACATTTTAAAAATTGCATTATCATTGTAATAATTTATATATATATTGTCTTTGAAAAATCTTAATATCTTTGGAAGCCGTTGAAGCAACCATTTTCTTTTTCCTGTTTACTTTGAAAGAAGTAGTTATTTTATTTACGGCGTGGTTAATTATCGATTATTTTATAAAAATGTCCGAGGTAAAACATGTTGAAGTTGATCCACAGGTAGATGTAATTGATAAAGAATTTTTGATTAAATTGATGCTGTCCAAAAGCGAAAACGTTTCTTTAAAAGCACAAGAAAATTCTAAAATTGGAATTTGAAAAAATTTTAGCAAAATTTATTTTAAAAACGTGGCTACATCATTTATTTGTTGTAACAAATGTGAATCCAAATGTGTGTTAAAACAAGATCGGAACACGGATGTAGATAGTTGTGATTTATAATGTCAATAAAAGCATTAATGTTGTTTTTCATTTCTTGCGGTGCGGTTTTGTGCGGTTGCGGTTTCAAATGTTGCGGTTGCGGTGCGGTTGCGGTTACAAATGTTGCGGTTGCAGTGCGGTTGCGGTTTTTGAAAATTCCAACCGCGCTGGGCTCTAGTCTCTATACTTAATTAAGCATCAATATTTTTCAACTTTTAACATCATTTTTTCAAGGTTACTCAGTTTCATTTAATTTTTATATAAACAACAGTAAGTAATTCACAGACACACATTCACAGACATACATTCACAAACACGCATTCACAGATATACATTCACAGACACGTATTCACAGACACACAATCACAGACACACATTAACAAACACACATACACAGACACCTATACACAGACACGCATATGCACAGACACACAAACCCACAACCACAGACACACATTCACAAACACACATACGCACAGACACACATTCACAAAAACACATTAACAGACACACCACACATTCACAGACACACAACCACAAACCCCATTCACAGACATACATTCACAGACACACATTCACAGACAAATATACACAGACACATACAACAAAAACTAAAAACAAACATTTAAAAATCCTAAGTGACAATTGGTTATTATCATGTGAACTGTCACACTGTGTGAACTTAACATTATGGATAAAACAAAAAAATATTGTTTTGAAGAGAGTAAGAACTTTTAAAATAATTACCATGCAGCAATAACTAGAAAGAATGGATGAAAGGATAAATATAACCAAAAATGAAATAATTATCTCTGTGGTAATTACCTGTGACATGTCAACATAAACAAGGGAAATAATAAATACTATCAGACTCAATACAAATGAATAAAATGCAGCAAACAAATTACTTCCAACACTGAAGATGTCAGCTGTTTTCATTTTATTCAAGTAACAAATCAGCAGGTAGTTTCCTTCCTGGAAAGCTTCAACATCATATTTCAAGTTGGCAGTTCTCCCATCATGAATGGTTACATTTTGTCCTGGAACAATCACAGTAGTAAATAATTCCTCATCTGGAGCACTTTGTGAAGTGGACAGCTGGTCGGAATCTGAACTGTTAAACTTTTTTGGCATTTTAATGGCAAACTTCAACTGGGTTGACTTATAACCACTACGACTGATTCTACTTTTTGAAGACAAGGAGGTACTCAGAGAACAGTTGACATCCAGTTTTTGTCCTTTAACAAGTTTCAAATCTTTTGGATTCAAATCTTTAAAATGTCAACAAATGTAAAATATTAACCAAAAAGACAAGAATATGTGATTACATCTGCATCACTGATTAGCTTTTTAAGCCTAATCTAAAAACTGTTACATAATTTTCAAGAAAAAACAATCAAGCCAGGTGATGAACAATGCAAAACATGAACGATGAAACTACAAAATGATGTTATAATGAAATGATGAAACATGACAAGTTAAAAGATATGTCTCTAGCTAGATTAAGGTTGATCATTAATATAAATAAATATAACAATGGATTAATTTTTTAATACTAAAAAAACTTTGAGGTTGCAGCATGAAGTTTTAACTTATCTCTTCAATAAATGTAAATTTTTCAATGTTGACAAATCTTTTTCCAAGTTTCATCTTTCACTCTCTAACTAAATCAATAATTCATTCATTCTCATCTCATTTCCATAAGCCACATCACTCCAATTGAATGAAAGGCTGTTCCTTCTTTATGTTTTAACATGTCACAACAACAGGATACTTTTTAAATGAAAAATAAATTAAATTTGTTGAGGAAAACTTTTATGGATTTTTATAATTCAATTCACAAAGTATAGTAATCTGTAAGTAATGTAACTGGAAGTATTCTAAGTTGAATTAATTTAATAATATGAATGATTATTATTATTTATTAAATTTATTACAAAACCCCTAGCACTTATGGTTATGCCATATGTGCTAGGGGTTTTGTAATAAGTCTTATGGTTATGCTTTACTTTTTACTTGTTACTAACTTTTTACTATTACTATTTTTATTACTATGAATTTTAAAAAGTTAAATAATTTTAATTAATTTAATTAAAATAAAAAGTCTTGCTGCTACATCTACTGTTACTCTAAATCTAAATTTTAAACTTTTCATTTTTACAAGTTTACACACAAAAAAGTAACTAAACCTAACCTACTTAACAAATGGACTGACAAGTCAACAAAAAACAAATTAAAAAAAACACAGAATACCAGTTCAAAAAATTAACATAATTAAGAATAAAAAATACAAAAGAATAAAATTAAAATAATTAGTTTAAAAAATAACCAAGTCCAATCTGCTGTTGGGAAAGTACCAAACAAGAAGACAAGAGAAAAAAAATTCTTGAAATTGATGATGGACTGGGATTAGGCATTTTAAATATATGTGAAGTATATTTTATAATAATTAAAAGTATTTAATAATAATTTCAATCGTTTGACGGCTGTTAATGGCTATTTATTCATCATTTTATGACAATATTAAATAAAATAATCTCCTCACATGCTGAACTTAAAAAATTTAACATGTAACCAAGTTTGGTTAAATCGGTGTTGAGATGGAAAGGTAAAAAATTATAGAGTGCCAAATAATTAATTATGTGGTTTTTTAGTTAAGAATAATTTTTCAAAAAAGAAATTTTATAAAACTGCAATTTATATATAATATATATATATATAAATTAAATTTTTTAAAATAATTTGTCGTTTTTTCTACAATAAATTTTACTAAAATCGAGAGCAGCAGTTGTTTATATAACTTTATTAACGGTTAACTTCATAATTTTTCGCAATTTCTTTTTTGCAAGTCAAAGAATAAAACTAAAAAATCTAAAATTAATTAAAACAATCACATTTGCATACTGCTAAGCTGACTGTTAAAAAACGCTATGGAATTCCAAATTTTATTGTCAATGGATATACACATGATATACATTCATTTCACGATGATATGATACGCACATCTGGTCTGGTAATTCCAACCGGGTTTTCCTCGCAAACAGAACTATAAAGACTCTGTTACATTTCTATATATATAAATATATATATATATATTTTTACAATATTCTATAAATTCTACCGAATGTTTGGCGTTATTATGTTTGTAGTTCGTTTTTTCGATTTTTGGAATCGAAATATGCAATATGGCCTTATTTGCAGCATGAATTCGAAAAATAAGTTTATTTTGAATTTTAATAAACTAAACGTTCACCAAAAAACTTTAGTGAGAAAAATCGAAAAAACGAACTACAAACATATTAACGCCAAACATTCGGTAGAATTTATAGAATATTGTAAAAATATATATCTATATCTTTATATATATAGAAATGTAACAGAGTCTTTATAGTACTGTTTGCGAGGAA